GAATGGGAAAGAGTAACTGTGGTGGACAGTACAATGTCCCCTCTCCCCAAATGTGTTCTATGGCAAGGCGAAATTAAGGTTGCAGATGGAATTAGGAAGCTAATCTAAGGTTACTCTTCATGAGCCAGATGGAGCAGGTGAGAGGAGCATCAGGGGCACAGCAGGGTGGGGGAAGAGTCAGTCAGGGGCACAGCAGGGTGGGGGAGGGGCCACTAGCCAAGGCATGCGGGTGAACTCAACATGGAGAAAGAAGGCCCAGAAAGAAGGCTTTCCCCAGAGCCTCCAGAGGACGCTAGCCCTGCTCACACCTTGGCCTCGGCATTGTGATACCTACTTTGGACTCGTCCCAGACTGTGCAAGAAGAAAGAACTGACTTATGTTGCATTTACTGAGACACAAAAAGCATAGTGGCATGACTTCAAAGAGCAAAGTGCACTATTTCCCACTTGACTTTAAATAAACGCAATCGTTTGTCTAGTGACTTAAGTTCATAGTGGTTCAAAACCACCAAGTTTACTATAATTACCTGCAGTAGCTACAGAAACTCCCACAGAGAAGCACACCTCTCCTGGGCCCCACCAGACACCTGATATGTCTACCACATTCATCCGTCTGTGGCAGCCTGGGCAGACATGGCGGCATCATGGGGCAGAACGTGTCTGGGACTCCACACTGCTCCTTGCTGGAGGTTCAGCAGGAGAAAAAGAAACTTTGATTCCTTCAGTTCATTTGCTGTACCTAAAAGGACTGTTTTTAAAAAGTGAATATTCCATATGTAAACAAAAAGATGTCGGAGATATGTATGGGAAAAGGCTACCAACCCAAGTTAGGACACAGGACAATGGATGAAATGAATAGGCACACACAGAAGGTTCCAGAAAGGGAAGAGAACCAGAGCTGTCTAAGGGACAGAGGAAGCAACTATAACTGCATTAGAAATGCTGGGTCAGCCCTGGTGGAAACAACTAAGACAAACCAGTCAGTAAAGCACCATCTGCCCCGTGGCATGCTGGGAGTGGAAGCAGGGGGTGCTTCCATCTACCTGCGGTTACTGGCTGGGTCCACTGGCCAAACATAGGAAGCTGTTTACCCCATATAGGACAGGATGCTCGCCGCAATAAATGGCGGATTCACTTTGCATTTTAGCAACAGAGCAGTGTGGATAATCCAAAAACTTCCTGCAAGGAAGTACTTCAGGGCACATTATCATCCCCAGGCTTTAATGCATCCTGAATCCGTGTCTGAACAATTAACGAAATGGAGCTGGATTACTGTGTTGCTGAAAACAGCAACTAGACCTAAACAGTCATGTTTATATTTATTTTCATTTGACTTGGTTCTGTGGCGGATATGAGGACAACTTTTGCTGGGGAACCTCACAGAAAATCAACAGCACTGGACGGGATCTCATCATCAGATTTATGACACCTGACATGGTTCTGGATCCCCTGGGCAATGGGTTCATGTGGTGGGGGCCATAGGCCTGAAACATGCATTTGCCAAGCAAATCTTTATCTAGTTCACAGGGGGACTGGCGGGGATGAGGAATCACGTGTAGCCTGGGCAGCTGGGAAGGCCATGGCTGCGGTTAGAACGTTGCTGTCTTAGTCACAGCGGTGAAACAGACGGGCTCACCCCCATTTCTCCGTACATATTTTTTGGGGAGAAGCAGCAGTGTGGGCTACAGTCAGGGCTGACTGGCGTCTTTCAGGGAGGCGAGTGCAGAGCACAGTGAAGTACCACCTATCACAGGAAGGGCTCTGTCCTCCTCTTTGCAAACCACCTCAGTAGTCTCAGAGCTTGGGAGTGGCATCTGTTGAGTGACGAACACTGTCAAGCTGCTGAGGTCCTTCAGGCCAGTCCCCCACCCCCATAACCAGCTCTTGGAGGTCAGCAAGTCACCCCAAATAGCGCTGCCAGTGACTTAAATGTCACTGTCCACAGTATCTTGTTGGTAGGCCACTGTAGTGAAAGTGCCTAGCACTTACATACTTGGTGGCATGTTGTGACATTGTCCAGACTCCAGTTACAGTTTCCGCCACTCTGAATCTTCGCCTGTGCATAGGAGGACGGCGGGGAGGCTGCTGCAAGCTTGGACGCCAGAAGAGTGGGAGAGAGAAGGAGGTAGGGGTAAGGAGGGAAACGGAGCACTGAAAGGACTGGAGAGGCCCATAAAGAGAAAACACGAGAGAGGACAGCAAAAGAGTCGTGGTAAGAGAATTTTATTATTCCCAATTAAAGATGTAAGTGCAAGTCTGTTATACAACATAAGCACTTAATGAAAGTGTTCCCGAAGTTCTTAAGGCAGTCATTTTGACTTATGAACTGCGTTCTTGGCAATCCTTCATTATTCTTTAATAGTGGGTGGCCCTTTCTTCTTTTTAAAAATGTTTATTCTGTAGCGCTGCTGTTCTCTAGTACTGTCAGACCAAGAAGGGCACACTCTGGCCTTCCCGTCACAGAAAGGCTAAGTCCAGGGACTTGTGCAGAGAGGGAGAACCACAGCCTGCCTACCTACAGCATTTTCCCACTCACGCCCTAGCTGGCCTTGGGTATCGGGCATGTGACACAGGCGGCTACATTACTGACAGGCTTTTGGACCAGGTGAGCTAAGTAAGGGCTTGCCCTAGGGTCACCTGCACTTATCTGTTTGATTAACTAGAGGAACAAACAGGCAAAGGAGCAAGAGTTATAGACCCAAGGCCAAGCCCAACCAATGGCTAGCCAGAGGAAGACCATCTGGTCCAGCCTCTAATGTCAGGTGAGGAAACCTGAGTTCCGGAGAAGCACGGTGGTGTGCCTCAAAACTCTGACTCAGAGTCCAAGTACACTGCTGCACAGGCGCAGAAAGGTGGTCCTCTCTGCAGGCACAACAAGGCATTTCATTTCTAACTCAAAAGCCTGTGTGCAAACCGAAGAAAGCTGGAACGCTCGCTTCTCCCAGGTGTGCCTCTTCCTCCTGACACTAAGACGTGCATCTGGAGCGCCTCCACGCACAGTTTAATCAATGCTGTTTTCACTCCACGTCTTTCTGACAGGCACACATAAATGAACTCCTTATCCTGGGAGACTCAACAGCGTCAGGCCCATGGCCTCTGCCTGTAATCCTGCAGCATGGGTCAGGGCAGGCAGTGCAGACCCACAGGGAGGTGGACTCAGACTACTCCTTTAGGAGTTAAAGGTCAGGGTTTTCCTTAACGGAAATTCTTTTGTTTTGTTTTGCCTTTTTTTTTAATAGAATTTTTTTCATATAGTCTGATTGTGCTTTCCCTCCCCACGCAAATTCAGTTTTTCTTTTTTAAAATTAGAAAATTAACTCACTCTCTCTCTTACACACAGACACACATAGACACAGACAGACACCAAACCAGAAACCAAAATACACAAGGAAAATATTAAGACCAAAAAAAAAAAAAGGCTCAAATAAAGCAACAGGAGATAGGAAATCTACAAAAAATACCACTGAGTTCATTTTGTGTTGGCCCTGTACCTACGGGTGTGGGGCCTGCCCTGAAGTGTGGTTTAGTACACCCAGTGAGACCACCGGGGAAGCCTATTCCTTTGCAAGCTGGTACCAGTTTCCGATATGGTTGGGGGTCGATGTCATGATAAACCATGAGGGGGACCTTGGCAGATTCCACGGCAGGCGAGAGGGACCGAGGCAAGAGACAAACATGCCAGGCAGACAGGGCTTAGTGAGAAGTTTTATTAGAAAGGGAAGGGGAGGAGGAAAGAAAGTAAAGAGGTAAAGAGACAGAGAGATGACAGAAGAGAAAAGGGAGTCAGGAGAAGTCCTGTCTGTCCCAGGGGAACGAGGGAACGAGAGCGTAAGTGGGCCGGTTCTTTGGGTTCTTTCTTTTAAAGGGGTCCTTTGCACCTGACTACTGTAGCCATGGAACCCTGGGCTGACTAGAGCACTGCCTGAGTGCATTCTGCCAGGTGACAGGGGCAGGCCAGCATAATGCCTGAGTCCTTACAGGTGGAGCCAGTGTCTTAAAGGTCTTAAAGAAAATCTTTCAAGGGTGGCTCTTTTTTTTTTGGAAGTGAGGATTGAACCCAGAGCCTTACATACTCCATAATGATGTCTTACACAAAGGCTCCCAAAGCTGTTTCCACCGCAGTGGGATCCTAGTCTAACTCCTAAACCCAGTTAGGTTAGTTGAGAGGCGCTGTCACAGTGAATGGATTCTGGAAAAGGGCCTCTCCTCTCCCCTGTCACTCTTGTGGGGGCCAGCAGTTGCAGTGAGACTTTTTACTACAGAAACATGCAACAGATGTGTCCCCCAGCCCACACGTTCCTGTAAGGTTTGCTGTTTGAAGCCCAGGTTTATAGCACCAGCATGTACAGCGAAGACCTGGAGGAACTTTAAGTAGCCACCGCTGGCTTCTGGGAGCCGGCTCTCAGCGGTGCTTCCACAGGCCCACCAATGGGCCTCCAGGGAGGAAAAACAGGAACCGAGTGGAGGCGGCGCCCGAGGCACACAAAGGTTGCTTGCCATTTCCTAAAAAAGGTGGCTCTTTCCTGGCCTTAACTGCCTTGGCTCGGAAGTTGAGAGTTTGGTGTAAAAAGATCGTTTTAACCACTTTCAAGACAAAGCTGCATGAGAAAAGAAAATGTAAGGAAAGGAAGTCGTGCCGGGTGATAAACGATCAGAATTATTTCCGCTCCTTTGGTCTGTCAGTGTGAAATGCTGTCAGCCCACGATTAATCACCATGACCTAGCACTGCTTTTTAATTGTTGGGGACTTCCCCCAAACATCTGTGTAGTCTCAGAGAAACTGCCTACGTCTGAGTTTTGACTTGCACAACTGGGCTTAGCGCGGGCACTCGCGGCGACTCCCCAGCTGGCAGCGCGTCCCGCTCACCTGCGACCCGGCGGGGAGTCCCGCTCACCTGCGCGCGTGCCAATCGCACTGACACGGGGATACGATACGGGGACCCCCGATCCTGCCCCGCCCCTGCCCGGCGCCCCCGAGACAAAGTGCAAACCAGTCAGTACCGGCGGGCGGGTGTCCGGCTTTGGTCTCCAGCTTCCCTTCTGGAGGCGAAGACATGGCGGGAGCCGCGGGCTTTCGGAGGGGCGACGGCGACGGCGGGGTGGGCGGCGGTGCGCGCGCGCGGGGGACCCAGGGGAGGAAGGCGTGGGGCGCGCGCGGCTCGAGGACGCGCACTGCCGACTTGGCCCGGGGGCGTGGCTCCGGGAGGCTGCGTGGCACGGTCCCGCCCACCCGCGCTGGGCGAGCCGCCCCGCCCTGCCCCGCCCGGCCATGTGGAGCATGCGCAGCGGCCAGCGCCACGTCTATCTCCTAGCAGCTGGCAGGGTAAGGTGACAAGGCGCGCTTCCGGGCAGGGCACGCGGCTCTGCGATCCGTTTGGAGCTGGAGTAGCAGTGCGCGTCCCCGGCCGAGATGACACTGAGGGAAGCGTCGCCTGCCGGTGGTTCGAGACCTTAACGCCGGGTTTTGTTCAGAGATGACAAGGACCCGCTTCATATCTCAACTATCAGCTCATCGCTCATGGCTCCTTGGCTCACTCTGCTGCGCGACTGACCCAACGGGTGCCTCTCCAGAACTCGCAGCTCTACAAGATCAGCAGTGACAAGTCTCCTGTCTTTAGGAAAAGGCGCGCCACCATCCCCTTTGGCAGCTATTCGAAGAGGCCGGGTGCCACACCCCTCTACTCATTCCTCACCCCACTAGTCCCCTCCCTGACTCCACGCTGCCAAATCCAAAGATCACTTGTCCAGTGTCCTTGATCTCTTAGTAGCACTAGGGACAGCTGCGAATCCTCTTTAGATTTAGGGATGCTGTGCCACGGCCTTGTCCAGTCCGAGACAATCAGGGCTGCCATTCTTGGCCGGCTTCCCTAGAGACTTGTAAATATTTGCGTCTGGCAAGCATCAGTCTGAGCCCTCTTCTCTACCACCTCCTTGGGTGAGCTGTCCTGTAATAGTGTTTGAGTCTGGGTAATTCATAGAAGAGTTAACTTCACAGTCCTCAAGAGGTAGGTGGATTGCAGGCTTGTATAGAAAACAAATTCCAAGTAGAGGAGGCTCCCAAGTTTGAAGCCCTTACAAACACCAAATGCAACCTGTAGTACATGCAGCCCCCAAGGCTCTTTCGTGATAGAGCCTGGCAAATCGTTAGTTCATTGTTCATGGCTCCTTGGCTCTCATTGGCCGTTCTGGTGCTTCCTTAGAGGGGCAGGCCAATTCTTCCAGTCTCAGCATCTACCATTTCAATCCAGGAGTACCACCTCCTCCAGACACTTGAAAGATGGACTCCTTACAAGCAGCTTGTAAGGTCAGCTGACCTGAGAGAACACGCTCTTTCCATTGTTCAGGTTGCATGTTTGAAAGTACTTGTAAACCATGATACCCTAGAGAATACATTTTTGTTTCTGCAATGGAGTTTTATCACTGTGTATAAAATACACAGGAATTGTCTTGTGGTGTATTAAAATAACTCAGTGCATCAGTCAGTTCAGCTGCTGTTGCATTCCAGGCTAACCTCTACTTTCGGTCTTCCTATACCGCTGTCTTATGGATAAGAACTTTTATATTCTTACCACACAGAATTCTTTCCCATTGTTGGTTTGGCTTCATAAAGGGAGGGTAGCTTTCATTCCTGACTTAGTTCATATCATTAGAGGTACTCCTTTACTATGCTATAGAAGTTATAAATAAAATTAGGTATAATTGATTTGACATCCACGCATATGATGTTGCCATCCACACATATAATACATGCGTGAAAATTCCACACAGGTTCCAAAAGCCAAAGAAAAATATTGTGGCATATACACACACATGCACAAGCACACACACTCATGCATGGGTGGGCACAGAGGCAAGCTATCCTTTAAGGTTTCACTTGGGTTGCAACTTGTCCTCAGTCACAGGGTGATTGAGAAACCATCCAGGAGATTTTCAGAAATGCTTCAATAGCTATTAAAGAATGTGGAGTCAGTTTCAACCCCATATGAACTTATAGTTTAGTAAAAGACTTTTGAAGAAAGAAATGACCAACCTGAACCTTGGAAAGTATTCCTCTTATCTTTATTTGGAAGTGAGGAAATAGAAACTGTAAAGAAAACAAGAGTTCTGGTTCTATGAATATTGATTGCCTGTAGAACTCCAAGCATGTTGTTGATTATTTATGAAAAGATGTGTTTAATGGAGAATGAGGGGAAGGGTATGGATGTGGCATATCCAGCCTGTCTTCTGAGCAGTGATTTGACCTTGTGGAAGCCTTTGATTATGATTCTACATTGGAGGCAATAATACTTACCTTAGGGATTCAAATAGTTATTCAATGTTATGGTTTAGCATTTATCTCCTTATATAAAATTTCTTACAAGGGTATATAAATTGCTATAAGTATAAAAATAAACAAGACAAAGACGTTGAGGATAAAGAGGCTTTCAGTCAGACAAAATCATCTCAGGGGAGCCCAGAATCTAAAATTGAATAATAAAAGTATTTTTGTTACTCTGTTTTTAAAGAATCTAGGCAGGAGACAGAGATACTAAGGCATATTTTTGCTCTTATAAATATATAAAGCCCTTCTAGAGGGTTCTTTGGCTGTGAGTCCATCAATCTCAGACAGCATGGATGTGAGACAAGCCCCAGGAGAGTGTTGAGGTCACCATGACCTTTTCAAGCCCCCAGGGCTCTGCTGGGACTTTTCCTATATAGGCAAACAAGAAAGAAGAGTCAATGAAAAAGGTCTGTAGACACACTTGGACCCATTTATACCACATATCACTTTATGAGTTCCAGAGGCTCAGTGTCCCACTCTTTTTTTTAACATTTTTTATTTTAAATAGCTTGTTTTACATGTCAATCCCAGTTCCCTATCCATCCCCTCCTCCCACACCCCCCATCATCCCCCCCCATCCTCCCACCCTATTGCCAATTCCTTCCGCATAGGGGATATCTAGAGTCTATCATTTCATTAACACAGAGATCGTAATGTACCCTCTGGAATGTCTCTGAGATGTGTGCGTTGATAATATAACATACTGGGAACACTGTGTAAGCCTTAAGGATTGAACACAAGTCTACCCAAAGCGTGTTGCTCGTTTAGAGATTTTGAAGGAAAAAAATGAACAGGGTAGAATGTGATGAACTCACAGGTCCCCATGGTTTTGTGCTGGTTCAGGGAAAGGTGAGGAGAAAGGTGTTCAAGGCCAAGAGCGTGAGTCTTTCCACTTGGCTGGAAGTGGGAGGGTGTTCATATAGAGGAAGCAAAGGGGAGAGACACAGCAGGTGGAAGACAGAGGACCACGCTGTCACCACGCCTGACATGAGAACACCGTGAGCAGACGTAGGAGGTCCTGTCCTGAGTCCACATAGCTGCATCATCTCTATACTGCACTGATTATCTCCACATCTCCCATCATGTAGCTACAAGAAAGCTCCACTGTAGCCTCGAGATGGAGTGGTAAACAGTAAGATTTTAGTACATTATAAGCATGGTCTTCCAGCCATTCTGCAGAAGCCTAGCCTCTTCTCACCGCCACCAGGTTCCCCCAAGACAGTTTGTGAACTGTTGCTATATTTCAGCCCTGTGACAGTGACTGAGGATGCAGAATAGAGCTGAATCTGTGACTGAGACAATGATGCAGCAGTTAGAGCCCTTGCTTCTAGTGCTTGAGGACTGGAGTCTGGATTACCCAAAACCTATGTAAGTGCCTGATAGGTATATCTGCCTTCTACAATCCTAGTCTCAAAAGGTAGAGGTGGAATCCTACAGCAAGCTAGCTTACAAGACTAGCTACTTGGGTGTGCTCTGGGTTTTTGATCAAGAGACTCCGCTTCAATGAACAATATAGAAACGCGATGGAGGGTGCTTATGCATCAACCTCAGACGCCCACCGCACATGAGCATGCACACCTACACACATGCAAACACATGGATACACACACATGTACATCACAGGAGCACAAGAACAATGGAGGCCATGGGGATATCGGCACACTAGTCAGTGAACAGGAGTGCCAGTCAACAGGTAAAGTCTAAGGCCTTTCCATCTTCTTCAGCCTCACAGCTGCTGGATAGACCCTTGGATAGAAGGCTGCATGGGCTCTTCTGCAGCCCCAGATGTTTAACCATGTACCTCAGATATTTCTGGGCCCTGCTCTGTATGTCCGTATGGTAGGTTGTTAGTCTCAGAGCTCTGAGTGGGTTAGTGTACCCTCTTCCCTCTCAGGGCTCCCCTGAGAGGAAGAGAGAAAGAACTCTGCTAGAGACTGCTGCCACTTCGCTCCCTTCAAAGCTCTGCTGCGCCCTCTCTCAACTTGCCACATGGATGTGGGGACTGCTTTCAAGAAACAGGGACAGGCTCTGAGTGTACTTTGGAAGAAAACTACAAAACAAGGCCCTTTGTCAAATCTACACAGCAGAGTGACATCTGGAGAGAAAAGCAAGCCAACACTTGGTCAGTGGCCCACCAGTCCACGGAGTTGGCCACTGTGTTCTTTCTTGTGCCCATCCAGACTGCCAGACAAGGCTGAGCAAAGGTCTTTTTCCCACTATCTCAGTTGATGTTTGATGTTTTCCTCATTAACAGTGACTGTGGGGTTGGGGAGGAAGCCCCTGGGACATCAACCTCACAGGCAAGGGAGAACATCCTGTCAGTGTGTCTTGTTGCAGGACCTTTATCGTCCCACTGATGGAGGAGGTTTTGAAATATGGCAATTTTATAAGGTGAAAGTTAATGTATTGGTGCAGTCAGCTCTTTTTTAGTAATCACTGTGAACTGGCTGACTTTGTGTTTGGATATGATGTGAATGTCTTCAAGATTTCATGTATGGAAATTCCATCCTTGTGAAAAGGATGGTGACTTGACATGAGGTTGCTCTATGGGGATGGGACATTCAGGAAGGGATGGAGTTTATCATGGTAGAAGCCCTACCATTGTATCTTTGCAGATTTATAAAGAGAGAGAGAGAGTTGAGCACATACCCACCCCCCCCATACACACATGCCTGCTCAGCTCTCATCAACATGCTGGTCAGAGACTGCCAGTCAAGGTCATCGTCAGATGAGACCTCTGGATCTTATGCTGTGAGCAGAAACAGATCTTTCCTTCCCTTTAAAAAACTCAACTCAGGTATTTCCTGTTAGTAATGAAAAAACAGACTAAGACAATATTAAGTTTCAGTCCCATAATAGTTGCTA